TTTGGCTTCGGAATTTACAATGACATTAATTGTGCAGTAGTAGCACAGGTGGGTAAACAAAGGTCATTCGTGATTGATAACCAATAATTCCAGAGCTATTCGCAGTAAAGTAGTACTTTGACTATTACATTAAAACTGTGCGAATGAACACTATATGTTGATTGTGAATTTATTGATGAGATGAAGTGCACACAACTTATATAAGAAATCAAAAGCGTTTTATGTGTCACCATGAATAACAAATCAGTGATTACAGTTCTTCGGCAGTTTACCGTCATTATCAGTACTAGGAGGTGGCGCTAGTTCCGGGGCAGCACACACATCACCAATTCATTTGTGTTGACAAGAGACAGCGCGCACTATCTCTCAACACTCGCCCCGCCTTCAGACTGAAGATGACGGCAAAGCCTTTATAACCTTTTACCACTAATAAAGTAATGTTGCCTAACATATCCGGTTGTAATAATAAAACGACAAAACAAAACAAAAACAAAAAATAAAACATTATTTGGATGTCCGCAATTAAGATTAGTGCAGATAAATGTCTAGTTCATTACAGTAGCCTATTGCTGATCTACATACAATGATTATAATTTATTCAAATAAATAACGTATCACTTCGGGTGTTTCAATCATCTCATTCTACACGAGATAAATTAGTGTTCATTACGTCATTTTGGTCAGCAACATTCTGTTACTGTACAGCAGCCTACAGGCTGTTTTTATTGTTCCATAACACGAGAAGGTTGCCCTTAAAATACCTCAAACCATAAGATTGCGTATCATTGAAGATAAAATTTACTTCGCTTCACTACACTAAGTAAAATTCCATTTGATCAGTTGCTGGAATTGGGAGCAAATAACAACAGCCTAGCCAAATGGAGTACGACAACGTTCTGCTTATGTATGCTGCGACCAAACACCAGGAATAAGAGGGGATGTTACTGAGCACTTGTCAAATGACTTTGTGAGTCTGCGAGCGGCGCGTATTTTCTTGCAAAAGTGTTTTTATAAGTGATAATACAAAGGCAACGCCAGAGGTAGAAAAATACGCATTCCACTTAGCAGCGATATTCTTTTCTCTGACGACATGTATTATTGGTAATATCAAGAGGAAAAGGACATTTTATTTTACATTAAAATATCCTAATAACGACAAACATGGTCACCATGGTGTAACAATTTTACCAGTATCTCAAAATGACACAAACTAGTGAATATTGGATTTCAATTCTACGAATGCTTAAAGTCAAATAGCTCTAAATTAGTTATCATAACGGTGGATTATCGCAGTTTCCCTTGTCTCTTATCCTTCCCTTGTCATACAAATAAATTGATGTGTTTCACCTAATATTCTCCTCTTTCCATTACGCTACCCGAATGTCTCAACAAACATGTTTCATGATATCAAATATATAATTATCAGTTAGTTCTCAATGGAACGAGACTGATTTTCTATGACCAAGTATTTAATAAGATATAAGACATTAAACGTTTGTGGTTTGAGAAAAAATAACGAAAAATGAAACACGAATTTCATGGTTTCTTTTGTACAACATCATGGTATGTAAATTATAGCCTTACTTCTATTTTCAAACGGTTTTAAATTGCAAAGATATTTGAATTTGATGATGCCTTACATCATTGACAGAGACTTACATTAAAAGAAAACTATGAAGAAAAGAGATTATGTTTATGACATAAGGAAAATCCCATAAATGATATCGCGGTTCATCACGTTTCTCTACTATTAAAACAATTATCATCCAATTCTTTGCAGGTAACGTTGTGAGTGTAGTTCATGAATTAAAAAGTTATCTCAATTTCATGTTCACAGTCCCTTTTCTCCTTAATGGTGACTTCAGTTCCTCAGAATTGACTTACATAAGGCGTTTTTTTTCATCATTTTTTTTAACTTCATTATTCAAATATTTTACACGTACAAAATATTTCAGTTACTCAACAGGAATTGATTGAACTAGAAGCTCAGTTCAGCTGTCAACACGTGTAATGTATTCATTAAAGGTGAATTCTTGGACTCTTTTATCAAACAAAAAGCTTCACCACAATGCCTTAAATCATTTTTAAGCAAACGCAGCGCTGTCTCTTGGTGTAGTTTTTTCTCTTTTAATGCACGTTTCCCACTTACCTCTCCCCACCAAGTCCGCCCTGCTCCGTTTCGCCCCTCGTCACACGCTCGCTCCCTCGTTTCCCTGTTCGCCCATTCCCTCCCACCCGCGCCGTCGCCCGCTCGCCCGCTGGCTCGCAAAAGCGAACTACGCCACGTCGCCTCTAAACCGCGAAATGATGAGCGGGAAGAACAAAGGCTTCAGGATTTGATTTTCATTTCCACTGCAAGAGCGAACGCGTAATGCATTTTGGTTGTTCGCTTTCAGGAATTATTCGCTCGATGAAAAGACTTGAAACGAGTGAACTTTTTGCGACGTATGGAAATGAGACATATGCATCTCCATTCATCGCTGTCATTTGGCCACTGGTATCCGAACTGAAAATCCAGTCAATGATCGTGCATTTTGTTCTTGCTTTGCATGAAAAGCGGCTGGATAGTATCAAAAATGTCAGTAAAATATTTCGTTCTCTCTTCTTTTCATTTGCGATAGAACATGTTCAATACTCTCGGGAAAACGTAATGTAGAGCAGAACATGTGTGTTAAGATGATCATAATATGCATCATCTTTCTCTCACTGACTTCACAATAGGCCAAATGTATATAAAAGAACCAACATAAAGTTGAAATATGTTTTGAAATGTACTAAGAATCGGCGATACATATGAAGATACATGATATGCAATATGACGAACTCGATCGTTACTGTCATAGTGCATTTCAAAAAAACTAAGCATATTTTTCTTCCTCTAGAAGAGGAAAATTTCAACTTTGCATGAATGCAAATTGTGACAAGATATTTCTACGTTCTTCTCATTATATGAGATTCTCGAGAAGAAGAAATATCTATCTCATTTCTTTTACATTTATAATGTAGGTCACGAGAAATTTATTCACAATTTTTTAATGTTTTAATATATGACATTGGAAAGGTCATTTGTGATAGTATATTGCTTTGGAAATAAATGTTACGCTCTTTATGTCCTGGGAATAACTTCTATTGCTAAAAGATACCATAATGGATTTACTGAAATTCATTTGAGTAATGTCTTACATAGTTTTGTGAGACATTTCCTAATAGCATTCAGAATACATATTGGCAACATTTGTCAAAGTTCTCTAATAGGCACATCATTACAGCTGTCAGCTAGTAAAAAGTTAAATTATGTTTATCTGCAAAGTGCAACGGGGGACGCCACTAGCGAACGGAGCACCGAGAGTGGCGCCACCGCCCCTCAAGACCGTCCCCCCCCGCAAAAAAAGTCGCCGCTGCCACCACGGCCGCCGCGCCACCGCCGCCCGATGGCTATCTCGCGCCGTCAGCGACCGCCGGCGGAGCGTTGCGAGCGGGGTCGTGCTTCGGGCGGAGTTTGCGAGCGGCGCGAGGCCGGCGCGGTGGAAACACTTTCAACGGCGTTCTTTCTTAGCCGCTGCGCGGCTTCCGCCCCCGGCAAAGTGCCCCCGCCAGCGCGCTCGCCGAACCCGCGCCCGCCCGCCCGCCCGGCCAACGACTGCTTCACAAGGCCCCACGCGGGCCCGTTTGATTCACGGCGCCTTCGAAAGCCCCAATCGATACTTAAGCGCTCCAGAATTCAGTTGTGAGCGAAGTTTCTCGCGCCCGTCGTAATATTACTCCCGAGGATAATTTCTCATCTTGTTCTGAGAAACGCCTGAAAGGGAGATGTCCGTGATCCTATCAAATATTGTTTCGAACTTAGATCTACGTAGTTGTACTCCTTCAGATCGATGTGCAGCAAAACGTGATGGATTTTTATGTTGTGTACAATCGACATTGGCTTCCACATGTGTTTGTCGAAAATGAGAGGAGGGAGTGTCAATTTCTTTGTACAAGAATGTAGCGGTCAACAGAATTTTTGTTTGAGAACTAATACGGAACAGACACATTTTCTTGCGTTGACAAACAGGGTACACACTGAAAACAGTATGTTACCAGCGTGTAAATTCCAGTGTTTCGTCGTACATCGCTGTTACAAATGCTGCTTCCGTCGCCTAGGTTTTACCTGAGAATAAATAAGTCACATATTTGTTAAAGAGTATTGGCAAGTCATACTTAAAATAGTTTGTTTTACTGTTAAATTGTTAATAGAATGTTCTATAGAACTATATGCAATAACGTGTTATAAATATTCTTGTGCTTTTCTTCCACTGTGAAATATTTCGCATGATGGCAATTAATAATACCTCAGTTATGTCATCTAAAGTGAAACAAAATGTATTTTAATGGATATTTATACTAGTAAGTTTCATCAGATCATTTCTTTAAGATAGTGTAATGAGTTACATATCTCCCTTCTCCGACAGTCGGTGAGGTTTGTTTGCGAAGCTTGTATTTCAACGAGATTGAGTCAAATATTTATTAAAAATAAAATATTTTAGGTTTGTTAAATTATTACAGCGTGTATGACGTATATTAGACGTCCACAAACGTCTTGAATATTGTATTTTTAGAACTTGTCAATGAACATTTTGAAATTGACTTAATTTCATTTTGAAAGCGGTGCTATCTGAAATGTGACTTTATGGGATGTATTGGTTTTCCAGGAAGACAAATATTGCGTTGAAGAACTTACGGTATATGTTAATGGCAAGATGCCAACATACCAATTTAAGGCAAGTTCTTAAATTCGTAAAATTAATAATAACAAATGAAAAGTAAATGAAAAATAATTACTTAAAAGCAAACGATTCACGTGTCGTCCACCGAAGGCATTCTGCAAGGTTCAACGGTAGCGAGATGATTCAGCAACTCGACGGAGATCCCAAATTCAACAGCCAAGTTCGCTCAGAGAGCGTCAACCGCAGAGCCGACTACTCCGCGAAGCCGAACCCCGGAAGCGAACTCCGTCTCACCTGTCGTCGTAGACGAAGCCGGCGTCCAGCGTGTTGTGGTAGAGGAGCCCGGCCGCCAGGCAGCACACCAGCCCCACGAGGTCCATCTCGGCGAGGTCCTTCGGCAGCGCCGTGCCCGCCGCCGCCGCCGCCGCGGCTTCACTTGTTGCTGCCTCGCGGACGCCCGACGACGCCCTCAGCGCGCACGGGCCGCCGCCGCCGCCGCCGCCGCTGCGTCGCGCGTCCTGCCGTCGCGCCGCCTCACTGCCTGGCCTCCTCGGCTGGCTCGGCTGGACCTTGAACAGCAACGCAGCGCAACAGCCGTCAGCTTCGTCGCGGAGGGTATGCGTGCATTACAGAGAACAATATGGATATTCCGAAGATGAGGTGGAAATCATTTTATTCATTTCATAACCCTTCCTATTTGATATAAACAACTCTATTTGTGGGTGGGATGCAAGGGTTAGTTTTATTCAATAAAGATTAGAAAATCACACAAATGGTGGCAACATTTAAAATATTCTCAAAAAACAGGGAGAAAATGTTTCAGTGTATTGGCACATGTGGTATTAAAAATCTTTCACATGTGCAAAAACCATCAAATAAAAAAATCTCAAAACATATTATTGTCAAAAAATCACTTTAAAATGCATTTAAAAATATGAAATAATCACCTCTAAAGCACTGAAATGTTTCTTAGAGGTGGTGCGTTCTCAAAAAATTCTTGTCTCTTTATTGAGGGTGCAAAATCACAAACTGTTGGCTGGGCACACAAAATGTGATCTGTTCCAGATGGTAGAAGAGGGAAAAAACGGGGTCGTAGTACAGGGCGTAGGCGACACGGGGTTGCACGTGCAGACTTGCCGAGGATCAGACACCACACGCTGCGGACTGTGTTCTTTTTTTAATGTGTCACTTTTGATCGGTTAGCTCAAATTCCTAGCAGGTCGCTTCTTAGATTTGTTGGGAAAAATACGAGACACTGAAAGTCACTTTGTCCCGAGTGATCATCTCTCAAACTTACACGTCAGTCGCGAACTGTTACTTTGTGGCGTTCATATAACACGTTTGAAAGACGCCGACAGGAAATGAGCACACCAACTTTGACAAGCTAGAAATTTAAACATGCTTCCAATATAATATGAATAAAATCGAAACACACTGAAAAGCTCTTACATGAATAATTTGCATTATAAGATTTTAACCAGTAATTGACAAAATCTCTTAACGTTATTTTATATACAGTTACATAGAACAACAGCGAGCGAAGCGTTTGAAGCCGACTAACTCGGGTGCAAAGATCGCCCAACAATGTGATTGGAAGGGGCCACTGGCGCTGACAGCGGGCAGCGCGGTGCGACCGGCGTCCCCCGGGCGGGGACGCGGCAGGGCTTCGACGCCGCGCCGCGCCGTCGCAACGCGCGCGCGCGCGCGAGCTCGGCGCTGGCGGCGGCGCGAGAGAGCGGCGGGCCCGGGCGGCCGGCAGGACGGGAGGTGGCGGCGCCGCTGCTGCCGCGTGCAGCCCGCCTCGGATGCTGCAGTAGCCGGCCCCGACGGCGAATCGGTCCGGCACCTGACTGCGTTCGCAACACTTTATAGCACACTGGAGGCGCCGGGACGCGCGGCCGCCAGCGAGCCTCTACCCGTCTGTCGCTCTATGTGATCGATACTGTATACCACCTACTCCCCGCCCGACGAGCGAGCGCGCGCACACAACACGCCTCCCCCGTCGCCCCGTCCGCGCGCCCCGTTCCGCCCACCCCGCCCCACCCCGCCCCCGCCCCTCCCGCCGCGACACACACACAGCGCGGCGCGCGCCCCGCCGTCCCTCGTCTCGCAAGCCCGGCGGCGCGTGTGGCGCTGTCGCTCTCGCAGCCACCCCCTCCGCGCGCGGTTGCGAGGGTGCGTGGCTGCGCGCCTGCGCCGCGCTCCCCCCGCCCCCACCAGCCGCCCCCTCATCGCGCCGCCGCCAAATCCGCCACGCTTCCGCGCGCCACGCGCAGCTGGCGCGCGCGCGTCGCCCGACAGATTGCGGTTAGCATTCATAAGAAAACTATAAAATTAATGAGGCGACGAGTGCGGTGATCTCGAGACAAAGTGAGCGGCGCGGGACGTGGACGATCGGGGCCCGCGGTCGCCAGGGAATGCGCTTGCGCAGGCGCGGGCTGCGCGCGGGGGCGGCGGGGCGCGCAGAACGCGCAGCGGCGGCGCGCGATCACTCGCTGCGCGGCGCTGGCGCCGCTGCCACCGACGCCGACGCCTCCTGTCAATACGCTGCTGGCTCGCTCCGCCTGTCACGCGCTGCGCGAGCGCCACTGACACCTAGCGGGACAGCGATTGGCGCGCCGGCTGGCGCTGACGGAAGGCTGCGTTTTCACGAGGCTTATTAAATGTTAATTGTGGCAAGCGCCGTCGCAGGTGCACAGAATTGGTGATGCATCGAAATAGCACCGTGTGGTTCTATTGCCGGTACCTTCCACGTGACACTATTGCGCAGAGTGGCAGGCAGTCAATTTGTCCATATTATTGATGATCCCTTCATTCTTTAAAGGCTTGAATATTTAACAAATTATTTGACCTGCATTTGGTAGGTTACGTGTGGAGTTTATAAGAGTTGCTCTCACACGAATAGCGTGAAACAATTGCAAAAGGGCATTGTGCTCAATAAAATGCTCGTTGTTGCATTACAATATTTCCGTTATTTTCATATTTTCAATTTTTAAATTGTCCCCAAAATGTTAAAAAAGTAAGTTTTCAAATTTATATTGCAAATTTTATATCAATGGGTTAAAAGAAACCAAAATATCAAACTAATGTCATTGATAATAGCTGTAACTTCCCGCAGTTCATTTAATGGTACCGCAAAGCATTTATCAACATCAACGCCTTCTTCCTCGCAAGTTCAATTATCCGAAATCGATATGGTCGAAACTTCCGTCCTTGGTCCACACCGCGCCGCATCGCCTTTTCCTTGGCTCACTGGAGGTTTCTCGGAGATCCTCAGACTCACAGGGCGAGAAAAAGCATCTACGAGCAGAAGAGAAGCAGCTTACAAATATGAGATTTTTCTAGTCAACATATTATTGCGTAAAGCAGGTTATTACTACCTTCTCATGCGCTTTTCTTTATTATATTTTTATAGAGGAACCGAGGAAATGATGCGTGTGGGGGATGATTCTCATAAGGCTGTAGAACGGTCTCCATGACAGGAACACAAGTCAAACATTGTTACTTAATGCGAGATCCTTAGAGTGCAATGCGCTCTTGGATTTATAAGCCAAGCTCCTTCACCTCCAAGCTGGATGCATATAGGTATGTTTATAAAGCAGCAGAAAAGATGACAGACCTACGGACACGTAATATTTATTTTTCTTTGTTGCAGAGGTTTAATACGAAGATATATCTTAGTGATTTGCATGTTACGAATCTCTAATTAAAGTGGTTCATGGAAGAGGAATTTATTTTCGCAATTGCTTGACAAACCACTCTGGAATTAATGAAAATTATTAGTATTAAAAAAAACATTTTCATCTAGTTAGATTTAGAGGTTATTTTTTGCTTATGGTTGAAAAATTCCAGTATTATGTTACTTCAGAAAGAGTGCTCTCATTTGGAAATATAAACAGATATTGACATTTTTCAGAGAAATGCTTATTCAAGTAATTGTCTTTTTTATTTAGTACTTGGCAATCTTCATTGTCGGAGATTGACTATTTCTTCTGTGGATGTAGATAACAAAGAGATTGCGTCCTTCCGGCACACTTGGATAAGGCACCGGCACACATTCTTCATTATTTTCCCCCTTTAACCGTTAAGTGGTAAAAACTTCGACCGTGCTACATTGACACACCTAATCTCTAGTAGATCCTTGCTTTACCTACTTACTAGCAGAACCCTGAAGACCCTTTTGTGCTGTTCCCTCTTTCCCAACTCTCTAGGTTCCTCTTTTCTCTCTTTCTTCCTCTCTTTTAGCCTTCTCTCTTTTCCCCTCTCTCTCTCTCTCTTTCCTTATCTATCTCCCATTGCCCTCTCTCTTGCCCTTTCTCTCTTTTCCCTCTCGCTTTCTGTCTCTTTTTCACTTGTTGAATCTCTCGTTTTCCGTTTCTCTCTGCTTTGCTTTCCTTTCCCTTTTTCTCTTATTCCCTCTTTCTTTTTCCCACTCTCCTCTGTGTAGTAGACCCGGACACTAGTTCTGCTCTCACCCTTTTCTTTTTCCTTATTTTTCTCTCACTTTCCCACTCTCTCTTTTCCCCCTACCTCTTTTCTTTCTCTCTCCCTTTCCTGCTCTCTCTCCATTTTCTCCCTCTCTCTTTTCCTCTTTCTCTTGTTCCCTCTCTCTCTTTTGTTCGCTCTCTCTTGTTATCTCTTTTTTCCCTCACTCTTTTTCCTCTCTCACCCCCTCTTTTCTCTTTCTCTCCATCCCCTCCCCCCATCCTGTCCTGCTTCACACGACAAAGCCCTGCAACAACGAATCTCAGGTGGACTGGGAATCGCTATTAACTGATGCGCCATCTTGTACTGCAGCGCGATCTAGTGGAGTTACAACAAATTGAAGAGCATACAAACCTCCATGAAATAACGCGTATGTGTTTCAATTTTTATGAATATCGGTCAATCAGGCCATACTTTCAAGGGAAGAGGTTGCGGTAATCCTTTTACGTGTATAATAGATTCATGGTTAACAGATAATTCAATATCGACTGTTCTCTTGTTAAATTACTATAACAGCTCGAACAAAAGTGAAATTGTAATAGATGATTGGAAATAGTGTTGATTGTCTGTGGCTGAAATTTCAAACGATGACGATGATATGGCTTTTTTTATTTCAATATTTTATTACATTGTGTTTTCATGAATTAAATCAAAGATTTGTGTCTATTAATTTCACTGTTCCTTTCATTTGGCTATCATATATTCAGAGCATAATTTCGGAACATAAAAATTGATAGTTTCTTATAATCGATTAAATTCTTCGCTACACGAACACAGTTTCCAGCATTCTCTTGTTTTTTAATTATTTATAGTGAATCTCTATCAAATTCCTAATTAAATTATTCATTGAACATTTCAACCCTTCACTTTGTTAAACAGCAATATTGACTGATTGTGTGTCTTGACTGATTTTGTAATTATACTAATTTTCTTGTTCACCCTTTCATTATAGTTTTATAATATTTTGTGAGAATTTTAATTTTTCTTTTCATGTCCACAGACACGTAGCCCATCTCAGTTTTAGAAATTTAGTTCTATATCTTGGTTTCTATTTGCTATATGTCTTACTCTTATTTTCTGTGTC